AGATTTAATATTAAACAACATCATGTAAATGCATAGATTTATCACCTGAAGAATACAAGAAGATCAAAGATCCATGGCCAGCAAAGGCGAAGTTACCTATAAACGTTGCCACTCCGAAGTATTCAAATAAATAAAAAGAATCAAGCAAAAAATGTACTTAAGACGAACGATTTAAGGCATAATTCTTATGCGAGAAATTAAAAACAAAGGGACCGCGCCCTGCAGGTTTGTGAATATAAATTAAAGCGAAAAATTTACTTGTAATGGACGACAAAAGGCATAATTCTCTATGCGCGAAGTGATAGAAATAGTTTCTCTGGAGCGTGCGACGATAATTATGTTACTTAGTCCGACGTCGATGTCCTTGATGATGTTTAACTAGCCGCTTGACCTAATTTTCGCATACGCGTCCTTAAAGTTTTAATTGTTGTTTTTTGTTTGTGATTTTGATAAGTTTCTTGATTTTTTTGTGATAGGACACGTTAATAGTTGTGATAAAGTGGTAAGACCACAGAAATAGACAATATTGCTACTATTTCTGTGGGTGTGACAGTTTGAGTGAAATTGGACACTTACTTTTACTGTTTTGTATTTTTCTGTTTGTGATAGGACACGTTAATTATACGCTAGATAAAAACTCATTTTTAATAACTTAATGAAGTAGTGTGACAGCTCGTTTGAAATTGGACGCTTTTACTTTTTTAACGTTTTAACTTTTTTTAAGTTTTAAGTTGCCTCGTATCAATTTCACGTCATCGGAAACACCGACATGATTTGGATTTACGGAGAATGCAACAAAACGCGGCTCTGGGATCACATAACATTTGACTATTAAATTTGATTTGATGTATTTATTAAACTTGAGTAATTACGAGATTAGTGATTAGGTATTTGGATAAAAACAATACCATAAAGTTTGTGATTTGTTGATGACTACATATGTACATACTGTACATATGTACGGGCAAATGTAGGTTTTATAATTACCTATGTCGATGTCGTGCCATTGCATCGCTGCGGCGTTGTCGTTTTTACGGGTCGCTTCAGGTCAGTAAACTAATATTATACAGGGTGATTTATTTCGTGTAATTTTATAAGCTATTAATTTTGTTTGAAAAATGCACTTTTTAATTTTTTGTATTATAGTATATTTTATTATTTCAACAGACGTATATCGACTTGCATTAAATGCTGTGCTGTAAAACGTGATAACCTAATCGCCACCCGGTATATACATGGCGAGTGGTAACTCGCGCCATCTAGTATCGAGTAGCAGAACTTAGAGAGCTTTCTAGAAAATTCCATACTAGAACTTTATACACTTAGTCGGAACCGGTATATACTCATACATTGTAGATGTTTCAGTAGAAGAGGCCCTATATAAAGCCAGTAGGGGCCGCTACCGAGTCAGTATTGAATTGGTAATTCAAGTGAATACTTCAAAGCGATATAACTGCAAAATGTGTTTTATTATTAGTGTGTTTTAAGATGTAATTGTTGTTCGGTAAATAAAGTGTCAATTTTGGTAATTCAATCGGCAGTTTTAATTGTCACGAACCCCAAGCTCGTATCTCGTAACAATACTACCCGGTAGCGACGCGCGAATGATATGATAGGTTCACACACGCATTCTTCTCGCATGTTAATCGACAAAAGATTTGATGCTGATTACAAACTTACCGGGTATTTGTTTCTCAAAGTACACGTTTTCTATAATATAAAGTCCTGCTCTAGTTATTATTTTATGCACCGGAAAATTTGTGTTAGATCCGGGATCAGCAGAAGCTACATCGACGCCTATCCCTACAATATTCTTATAAGACGTAGTAATCCATTCCGCTACTTCTGCACTTATGCCTGTAATAAAACCAACGTTTTTGAATTAATATATTTATTCCAACACGAAATCTATATACAATAAAAATATTATACTATATGCATAAAAACAAAATGATATTTTAAATAAATATGATGTATTCAAATGGTCTCAACTTTTTATCACCACCCATATTCACCTTTTTTTTAAAACAACATCTATCATCAAACCTAAAAATATGATGTTAGATGCTGTTTTAAAAAATCACACAATAATTAAACTAACTTTTATTTATTTTAAAATTTTGACGAAGGCTGTTTTTGACCATAACATAAGAGGCACAGAATATAAAAAAACAAGAGGAAGTGGCAAAACGCATATTTTGTTAGTAGAACCACTGTTACCAAGCTCACTGTTATCAAATTCTCAAGAAAGTAATGTGTGCCGACATTTATGCACCATTTCAATAATTTTCGCGTGATTGGTTATATATATATATATATATATATATATATATATATATATATATATATATTTTTATAAGTTAAAAGAGAATGGCTTTATATTACTCATCAATCGCTTGAGTAAGATAAGGGCACCTCAATCCCCTTAATAAAGCCCTTTGTTAAATTTTTTCTTAAATAGGTAGATGCTTTAATTTGAACAGTAATAGCGTGAACAAAAATGAGTCTCATAATCATGACGACTTATTTTGGCTAAGGTAGTTCAAGCGCGGGTTTATAAAATAAAATGTAATATTATGCTACCAAAACGATACCTGGAAAGTTTAATCCACTACTTCTTAATCCCAAATACTTTTTCTTGTCCATGGCAAATTTACTCCAACCAAATTTAAACACAATAAGACATGGTTTGCCCAAATTGTCATTTAAAATGTAGTCCAAGTGGTGCTTGTAAAGAACGAAGTTTGGATCATCGTTGACTTTTGAACTTATGTCCGCTATTATCACTAAAATCAACATAAACAGAATTTTAGTTTCCATATTAAAACCATCATTCCATATTAAACATTAGGCAATAGATGTTTAATGGAGCCCTAGCCCCAGTTTAAAGTGACACCTTTCATTAATTTTGGGTACACACATTGGGGAATGAGGTTGCTTGCATTCGAATAAATTACTTCAATCCTGATCGTCTGCATGTATTCCCTGGGCAGTGCTAAAGAAGCAGCAACACTTTCTGGTAGGAGTCTAGTCCTCGTCTAGTGGTAGGCCTGGCCGAGGGTTAGTTACTACCTAACTAGCACAAATTTCACGCCAAATGACGCAAGTTACGTACCTTTCGGTATGAGGTTAGATGACCTTTTTTCTCGACTGAAGAGAGAAGAGGGATATATAAAGAGTGTAATGTTTTGGGAGTGGATGTATCTTGTAGCATGAATGAGCCGGCTTGACCGGGGTTGGACCACTCTCTCATAGATCTGTGAAGTGAGTATAGAGAATCGGAAGCCCTTTTTTACTGGAAACGAGGCATTCCATCTTAGTCCTCAGGGGTGACAACGCAACTGCATTTTGATTGTTAATCGAGGATAAATGTAAATGTCTGTGGGTCACAGCATCTAATTACCATCAGGTGGACGGTGTGCTCATTTGTGACCCATATTCTACAAAAATGTACGTATGTAGGTCTATTTCTAAATGTATTGTTTCGTGTGTTGTTATATGGTTTGATGGAACCACAGAAATCCAAATAATAAGGCAATAGAAGCCGTAAAAACGCGTGACCTTGACGCCGCACTGTGACTCGTAGGCCACAAGCGCGCGAGGAGCGTTTGTTTCGTTCACCAGCCAGTAGCCTGTTTCGGACGCAGACACATAAAAATGGTGTTTTGAATCATATTCAGCTGCGGAAATTCTCCCACAACTTGCAAATTTTCAAATAAAGGGATAATATTTCATAATTAAGTACTTAGTGTTTTAAATATTGTTGTTTTTAATAAAATATACTTAAATAAAATTATTCACCTCCAGTACTACGATTGTCTCCGAAAATGTAACTGTTTTCAAATTTCAATATACATTGATTCTTAAGCTAGTTCATGTCTACGAATACGACAGCTAAAAGCAGCGATGGATTTATAGTATGGGCAATAAATAATATTGTCGCGTACGTAAATTTCCAAGAACATGGCCACAGGAGTCGAGCGCGAGTCAGTAATTTGAGTTTGACATTAATATTTTGTATCGATAATTTATTGTTTGGCCCAGTTTGGCCTTTGAGAATACTTAGTGTTTGGCTTACCTAGTTTTACCGAAATGGGAATGAAATGTGATTTTTCGATAAATATTTATTTACACCTCTACCTATTTATTTTCTTTCTAAATATTTTATACCGTTAACCGTTTATCAGCGATTATCTGTTTGTTTGTACCTACTTTTGAATTACTTGATAAATTTTTGTGCAGTTTTAATATATTTTAAGGATAAGTAATTATATTGTATGGATAGTAAACTAAATTCGATCTCTAAGAAGCCAGGTAACTGAAAAATAACAAATAACGGAAAGTCAGTTGCTCATTGATCTTTAAAACTAATTATAAACGATAAATATGTCACCCATACATACCTATATTTATTTGTTTGCAGTTTGTATAATGTTGTGTTTATTTTATTTAAACATCTCTTTATTTAATACAATGCTATTATTCCAGGTTTCCAAAAGATCTGGATATTAAAGATAAATGAATATACTTAACCTTAACGTTTTTTTTTATGTTCCAAAAATTATAGTAAAGAATTAACTAAAATAATAATTGAAATTATAATATTTACGATTAATACTAATTGTATATAATATAAAAGAAGAAACTATAATATAGAAAATCTAAAACTAAAAATTTAAATCGTCAAAAAAACCTGCTCCCCGTGGCATAGTGCCAAGAACGCTGGCTGCGTTTCTTCGCTGAATAGCTATACTTAGCTTTTGAGCGAGGAAAGAACCAGCCCTCTTATCACCAGCAGCAACGACCAGTCGTGGATACAGTTCCTTTAGAAACTTCATTGCACGTGGACCCCACGGCGATAGTCTCTACAGCAAATGGCACAAATATGTAGTCATTTCTCAAAAACTCATATTTGCGCCATTTACTAAATTCGGCTGCCTCTGATGCCGCCCCGGCTCTAAGAGAGGTACCCTTGACATGAGAGGCAGCCAAAGTGTCGACGCAAGTAGCATCCCACAGCATCTCTCCCAAGGGACCAAAGTCATACCGTCGGGTCTCTTGCCATCGTCTCTAAATATCACGCAAGGCTCTAAAACCGACGGGATATTTATAAAGACAAGAGCCCTTCGGATGATTTCGTTCAAAGAGCCGTGACGGGAAAACCTACCTGCACTTTTCTTGCATGGAGCCCAAACTTATCGACGCTGCTACCACAGGGGCACTGGTGAGGTTGACAAATAGCCACTCCTAGCCGGATTCCTACGGCGATGCGCAAGCTTTCCCCATCAAGCAATGTGCCGAGATTACTTGATGGTAGAGCATGTAACTAGTGGCTAGATTCCTTAGTCGAAACAGCTAGAAGGCGAGCCTGATCTTGTTGATTATGTAAATTTTGAAATAAATTTTTCTGGACACTCCGTACCAACGGAATATCCCACTGTTTTTGTTGGTTAACTTCCAGTGGGACATTTTCGCCGGGACAGAGCGTTAGCCATGTTTGCTTTGCCTCCGCAGCAAAGCACAGGTCTACTTTATTATTTAAAATTGTGTTACATAGGTCATTGACACTATGCACGGAAGCAAGGAAAACAGGCAATGCGACGCTAGAAATATTTTTTACACCAATTCCACCAAATTTGATAGGTAAAGTGGCTTGATTCCAGGCCACTGTATTTAATCTCAAATTTAGAATGTTTTCTAAAGCAATTTTAAGATTACTATCAATATCTTTTAAAATATCTGAACATTTCCAGACTGGACTTGAGCGTAACAAGTACGTAAATTCAGGTACAAGGAGACAATATTTTAAAATGGTAAGGGCAATATGGGGGTTTAAAATATGATAATTTATCAACGTGATTTAAAAATTGATCAAATTTTGTTTTTAAAACAGGTTTAATACTATCGAAAAACAACGGAGTACCAAGCAGGTAAAGCGATTCCGAATTGACAGTTTTTATTCCTGGAGAAATCTGATTGAAATTTTGAATTAAGGTATCTCTGTTAGAATTAGATAAATTATTAGAAATAAATATTTCACATTTATTTGGGTTCAAGACCAATATTTTTAAAATTTTGAAAAATATGAGTAAGATCATTGAGGACGTCATCTGCTTTACCTCCCAGTGTACAGTCGTCTAGATACCATACATTAAGCTTGGATTTTAAATTTGAAATAATAGGTTGAATTCCCAAACTGAAAAGAGCTGGACCTAATGGATCACCCTGTTGAACACCGACAGCAGACTCAATAATATGGTTTTTATAAAACAAGTTTGAATTTTGATTGTAACATTGCCAAACGTAATGATATATTTCGGGGGTATTGTTAGCCACTTCTTTCAGCAGGGTTATCCTATCAATAGAGTTAAAAGCATTTCTAAGATCAACCTTCAGAAGAACATCTGCATTGGAATTAGTTAAGAAAGTACGCACCGAATGTACCACCGCCTCACAGCCACCTTTGGTGCCAAAGCCTAGTTGAGTAGGTTGAAATTTTGTCTTAAGGTTTGAGATTATGTGCCTGCAAGCTAATTTTGAAGTTAAGCGTCGAAATGTAGAAACAACAGCAATAGGACGGATACCATTATCCTTTTTTTTAAAGGCACACAATCTTGCCCCATATAAGTAGGGAATGAATTTGGGATTGACATTACTAGAAATCATAAAATTACATAATTTTGTTATGTCATTAAGAAGTACCCTACCGGCGTTACCAGCAGATACGCTTACAAGGTCTTTGAGATGCTGAGGCGTAATCCCGTCAATACCGCCGGCAGAGCCATTCGAAAATGACAATATTGCGTCTAAAGTGTCTTTTTCGGAAATTTGTAATGGTTGCATAGAAGTATTGGGAGGCAGCGGTAAATTTTGGCAAGGATTGACCGAAGGATGTTTCTGACGAAGGCCTTCAAGAGTTTCGACATTACGAGGAGCGAGGATGTCATCTGAGAATAAAATACGGGATGCATTTTTTAAGTTGCCGTCCATTACTTTTGATTCAACAACTTTTTTTAAATCAAATTTAGGATAAGGTCGAGAGAAATGAGTATTAATCGGGTAATTAAATTTTGAAAAGAATTTTCTTTTAGTTGAGACGTAATTGATTTATTTATTGTTTTACTAAAATGAAAGTGGGAATACGCGAATGTAAATAATTTTTGCCAACTTTTTTCACAATTTGTTAGACAATTTTGATTAGTTAATGATAATGCTTTAGCAAGTTGCATCCTCGCGCCTCTGGGAATTCTTTTAACCACTGGTACGTTACTATACAAATTGTATAATTGTTTCGATGAAAGTGAAGAATTTGTGTCATTAGGTATATTATCAGAAGAGTCATGAATTTCTACGGTAGGCTGTGAAGCTGAAACATTTTTACTATGGCATCGTTTAATGTGTATATTTAATCCCTTTTTACCTTTAAACAGCCTACCGTCGGTACAATTTTGACACCGTAGAAAATCCTGCTGTGAATGTATTGGAGCGATAATATTCATAGAAAATGTAAAAAATTAAAAATGTAAAAATATATCTACAGCACTCAAAAGTCTATAATTTAGTAAAAACCTAGTTCTCGAGCTTTGTTTATCGCCTTAAAGCAATCTAATATTAATATTGTGTACGATGAATCACCAGGCGTTGCATCTTGAAGTGACCTACAACTATAACCGCTTACAGTTGATGGTTTCAAAGCTTCTTTTGGTGACAATCTCAATAAAACGCTCAAGCATCTCAATAAAAACGCGACACAGAATACCAGCGTGAAATAGTAGCTTAATGCTGCTATATTTCGTATGGTGAGTGTAGAGAACCGGAGACCCTTTTTACTGGAAATGAGGCATTCCATCTCAGTCCTCACGGGTGACAACGCATCTGCATTTTGATTTGTAATGGAAGATAGATGTAGATGTCTATGGGCCGCAGCAACCACTTACCATCAGGTGGACTGTGTGCTCGTTTGTCACCCTATTCTATAAAAAAAAAAAAAAAAAAAAAAAAAAAAGACATTCGTTGTTTTCTTGGGATCAGTAGAAGTGTAGTGAGCATTGATTTTGTTATTTTGACGTTGTTCTATTTTCTCATTTAATATTTCTTTAAAGTTCTCCCTGGCATTAATGTTGCAAAATAAAATATATTCCTGGTGTGTAAACACGCACCATAATACCTAGTTTTACCTAAATATCAAGTGTATTTTACATCTGAGACATAGGCACGATAGGTCATACAGTATAACTAAAATTATATTTAGCTATTAAAGAAACTTAGTGATTAAGCGAGTTAAGTACTTAACGTGTGTTTAGTTTTTAATGTCACTTGACGTTTTAACGTGCTTGAAGTTGACTAATGCTGTAGCCCCGGGACTGATTTGGGACAATTTATGAGGACACCAACTGTAGTAGTAGACACCAGCAGTAGATTTAATAGCCTTTAATCACGGCGACGATCACGCATGTATTTTATTCAGGTTCGTGGTAAAACTGCTGTGACATTGTAATTATCTCAAAATATTGGGGAGTCTATCAATATGAAAAGTTTTTTTTTTTATTTAGAGTAATAAATATAATAATGTCATATAAAAATGCCATAAGGCTTTAAATCCGCCCTTTATATCCCCTTAGTATACAAGGTGTATAATAAAGATTAAATAAATAAATAAATGTATATAAAGTGAAAAAAATCAAAACACTGATCGGTATTTATTACTTGCCGAGTGAAAAACGGATATCGAACACTAAATTGAGTGATAACCTGGAAAGAAACGCAGGAAGTTGATGAATGTAGGTGGCTCAGGACCGTTCTGTGTGGGATTCCTTAGCGGAAGCCTTTGTTAAGCAGTGGATTTGGGATTAGCTGTAATAATCATGACGATGAAGAACGGATATCCGTACGCCGTACACAAAAAAGAAAAAAGCCAAGCTTGTAGCGATGCTTTAAATTAGAATTTTCTTAAATTATCGTTTCATGCAGTTAGCAGGTTTTAGAAGTAAAAGTACTAAATAACATACGTGGCACTATGAGTTTATCGAGTGGTATTTGTCCAACATATTGACCGGATGCTGAAAAGTGAAAAGGAGCATCGATATGGGTGCCACCATGCTCTCCAGCGGCAAATTCATTTGCAGCGTACCTACAACAAAATATCACATGTTACAAATATGCACACACAGCACAAATACATAACTGTAGTGAAAGATATTATTGCTGTTTTATATAAACTAGTATTGATCCGAATACGAACATTTAATTGGTTAAAAATAATGTCAAAGCTTTTGAAATCCAAAAAATCTACGCCATTGCTTCAACTAGTCCCTCCTGCAGGAGAAGAAGCGACAAGCTGAAACTCACAAGCAAAACAATTACAATTTAACTTTTTTTATTATATAAATGAAGTGACCAACGAACTTACAGTTCACCTGATGGTAAGTGGCTACTGCTGTCCCATACACATCTACAGCCAACTTAAAACAAGAAAGGCTACAGGTGCGTTGTCACCTCTGAGGACTAAGGTTGACTACCTCACGGCCTGTGATTTTTCTATAGGATAGGGTGACAAACGGGCACACAGTACACCTGATGTGGTAAGTGGTTGCTGTGGCCCACAGACATCTACAGCTATTCTCGATTACGAATCAAAATGCAGATGCGTTGTCACCCATGAGGACTATTTTTTTATTATGTGCGAGCAGCTATGCCAGTCAGGAGAAAGAGACCAGTATCACTGCGACTTAAAAGATCTATTGTGATCGCTGCTATGGCTATGCTGTTAAGCCCTATGTCTTCAATGAAAAGAAGGAGTTGCTTAGCTGTGAGCAATTTCACTTCTTCTAGGCGGAGCGGCGGAGTACATAGTTCCCCAGATGAGTGTTACATTTGCGCATAAGAGTCCGCAATCAGTTAGGATGTGCAGGGGCGTTTCTTACGTTATGGAACATAACCGACACATCCTTCAGTTGCTTAGTCCCAAGATGGACATGTGCTTTTTAAGACAACGGTGTCCAGTTAGGGCTCTTGCTAGAATGCGCAATTTATTTTTGCTTAATCCCAGGGCTTCTGAAGCGAAGTTACTCGTATTAAGGTTTTAGAATGCTTAAGCCTGATGTGTCAGACCAGATCTTAAATGATTCATTGTGATAAAGAGTTTCAAGGGTCAATCGGGATAGGCTGCTTGAAATTCCACAAAATAGCTCAGGTCCAAATTGTGTACTCTTTGAGTCCTCTTTGAGTTGGTCGAGGCAATGATGCCTACAATAACCGCGTGACCCGGAACCCATCTTAAGACCACCCTGTTGTTAAATCCCAGGGCGTTTAAACGGTTGACGCAGTCTCCAACTAGCTTCGAGTTCACTAAGTTTGACCTCAGCGCTAGCAGTGCTGCTTGACTATCAGAGTTTATATAAATTATATGGTTGACATAGTGTTTTTGCAGATTGATTTCCGCACACTGAGGTATGCCCAAAATTTCTGCCTGGATAATAGAAGTGAATCTATCCAAATTCATACTAAATTTGAAGTTTGAAGTAGTAAGTGGTTTGCTAAATTCCGTACAGGCCGTATGAGCACCGAAGACGATGAACGCAGTGGACGTCCAAAAGAGGCTGTTACAGACGAAAACATCAAAAAAATCCACAAAATGATTTTGGAAGATCGTAAATTGAGGTTAATTTATATAGTTGACACTCTAAAGATATCAAAGGAACTTGATGGACATACCGTTCATAAATATTTGGGTAAGCGAAAGGCAGAGGCGGCGTAAGGCGTGGGCGACGTGTTCCACTGCCTACGGCCTCGCGACCCAGGGGGCCTCGGGCTCCGGAGGTTTAAATGCATTACCTACTTAAAACCGTAAACGCGCCGAAAAAAAATCAATATCATAAATCGATATTATTGACATAACTAAATACGTTTTTATTTAGTCTAGCAACATTAGTTCGCGTTGCTGTTGCGCGGAATCCCCGCTGTAGGGCGACTAGTATATATACAGTAATCTATGGGAGCGACAAAGGCTGAGGATTCCCCGTTCTGTTTGTTAGCCATAGAATACTGACTTTATTTAATCGTGGGCGCGTGGCAATCGAGTAAAGAGTGTGGTACAGCAGCCTACGTGGTTGCTGTACGTATATTTTCGCGCTGTACGCACATGAGTAGATAAACGGAACAGACACAAAGCTTCTTAAGAACTTGCAAAATTGTTACCTATTTTGGTAGGGTTGTCACCATAGGTGAAGACAAATTAAAGCTCTAGAACGTTTATGTACATTTTGTGACTGAATTAAAAAATATCAACAAACTTGTTTCGAAAAATGCTTGTCTGGTATTTAACAGTTTATTGATAAAAACTGTTATGATCTACCAAAAGACTTTAAAAATAAAAGAGTAGCCAAAAAGAAAAATATGTTTGATTATGAAGGCAAGGATTAACCTATATAGTCTCCTAAAAGTCGGTAATAAACAGATTTTTTTCAACACCATGCTTGTTCAATTATTTTTCAACAAATTTTAATTTGAGCTTTATAGCTTTAAACCCACATTATGAAAATTTTGGTTTCCTTTATGATTTAAACAAGTTAAAAAAATATTCCAAACCATCTAATATTAAAATAACTGTCAAGAAGTCTAATATTAAAGTAACTGTCACAGCCCTGCGAGTGGGTGAAAGCAGTGACTTTCAACCTTACGAATTATGTGAAGAATTACAATTAATGATCCCTAATTTACTTAACTTCGTAACAGATGTGAAACAGCTTCTCCAATAAGTTACAGAAAATATTTTTAAAAAAATATACCCAAACATTTACATCGTCATTTAACAATACCGATCAGTACAGCCTCTGCTGAAGGAAGTTTTTTAAAATTAGTACTTATTAAAAACCTGAGGAATGCAATGTCACAGAAAATACTTTCAGCGTTGAAAGTTTTATCTATCGAGGCAGATATAGCATCCAAGCTGGATTATGAGGCTATAATTAAACATTTCAACAGGATAAAAAGCAGAATATCTATTTCGTGTCTAATTGGTGTTGGTACTTAATCATTTTGTAAAAATAAAAATTTCATAATGTCAAGTGTTTTGTTTTTCATTTTATATTTTTTGGCTGCACATGTATATACATGTATGGATGTACGAGGGCGACACTGAAAAGGTTTAGAACTGGCAACTTGTAAACGATATAATAAAAAAATAATTTCAAATTTTGAAAATGGAACTCTGCCAATATTTTTGTGTATTATTATATTAATTTGTCATTTGTTTACGATTTGGCGGCAAATTGAAAATTGTCTGTGTCACGTCAGCATGAATTTCACGCAAAAAATATTTCGTAGGTACAATGATTTTTATGACTTTCGATGTCATTTCAGTCAACAAAAAAGATGATAGACTTATTGATTAGTTTTGGTGGTTGCATGGCGGCCTTCTACGGCGACGACTGAAGAAAACATCAGTTTTGCGCGGCGTATGATAGAGACTGACAAAAAAGTGACTTATCAGCAGATTCGGACAAGCTTAGGCATCGGTATGAATTAAGTGCACAAAATCCTCCATGAACATTTAGCGGTCAGGAAGCTTTGTGCCCGGTGGATACCTTATATTACATCACTCTATTGTGAAGAGTCAAAATGTGTCGAAAAAGGCACGTATGGCAATTCACAATGCTGTAACGTATGGTAGTGAAAGTTGGGTGTGGTAGAAGAAGCACGAGAGTAGAATGAACGCAGTAGAAATGCGGTCGTTAAGGAGTATGTTAGAGCTGAATCTGAATTACAGGGTGAGAAATTGTGTCATAAGAGAAGAGTGTGGTTTGCAAGATGATGTTGTGACCAAGGATTAAGAAAGGAATGATTCGGTGGTTTAGTTATGTGGAAAGAATGAATGAGGAAAGAGTGACAAAGAAAATTTATGTTGCAGAAGTGAATGTCAGAGTCGGAAAGGGACGTCCTAGGCGAAAATTTATCGACTAAATTGGCGATTTATTGAAAACGGGCCAAATTGGGAGTACCCTTAACCGACGAGCATGTATGCGTAGGTATATGGATGTGAAGGAGGCGAGAGAGGTGTGTCAGGATCGTGCCAAATGGAAGACATCAGCTGGTGTGGCTGGTGTAAGTGTAGGTGTAAGTTTAGTACTCCTACGCTTCTTGGCTTCATTCTTTATGTTCGTAGGGTTCGAATGACAACCCCTGTGGCCTCACTAGCGCGATCTAATGCACGTTCAAATGGAATTATAGGTGAACCTTTTCCTTCTCGAAAAACGTTAGAACCAAATCCTGAAACACGGCTTCTTCAAAACGAGCTACTGGCTGTACTAATTATGGACGCAGATATAGTATGTTTATCACCAAACAGGTTAAGCATTGTAAACAATTTAGTATCATCTATTCAATCAACAACTACAACATTCAAATACACTACAAATTTTAAGTTAGTGAGTCCAAAAACATTACTTCCAATGCCACTGCAAAAACAATTCGAGCAATCAATCTACGGAGAGAACACCAATTATGACATCTTGTCCCTATAAAAATGAGTTAGAATAGATCATGAAATCCGAATTGGAGAAAACTAAAACAAAAAAAAATAAGTGAAGAAAATGACAAAAAAAAAACAAACAATAAAATGAAAGAAATTACAAAGACTAAGACAAGAAAACTACAAAAAGTTGAAGTTATAGTTACAGCCTATTACGTCCCACCGCTGGGCGCAGGCTTCATCTCATCATCATCGGTTTTAGGGCAAGGAAACGTCTGTTTTAAAACTTCATTCACATGTTTTCGAAAAATAATTTCTCTTATTTCTCAGACATGCAGGTTTCCTCACGATGTTTTCCTTCACCGCCAAGCACGTGGTAAATCAGCACTTAAAATTGCAATTAACAACTTCATTGGTTCCAGCGGGTGTCGAAGCCGGGTAAAACAACAAACTAATAACAAAAGTTCATGGGCACCTACCCCATCTTACCCAAAAACGTATCCCATCTTGCTTCACTTGCTTGTGGGGCAAGACGGTGTTTAAATTTTTATAGTGTCAAAAATAAAAATTCATTGAAACGTGAATGCTAATAAGACTGACTGCCAAAGATTAATCTAATTAATATAATTCTTAAAATAATATCTATTATTTACGATTACGGTCAAAGCTCATGCCCATCCCTCCCCTACTTGGACCAATTGTTATTTCTGCTTTTATAATAAACAAATTTGTAAATGCCGTCTATATATCTCTATAATCGTCGTTCAGTCGTATATTTGTATTATAGCAATTGTCAGTTTTAATATAGGTTAATATATAGAATTATATTTTTCTAGATATTGTTCTTACCATGATCCATCCTGCTGGAAGTTCTCGATTTTTTTTGTGAATTCAAATTCCTTAGAATCAGGCCAGTAAATAGTTTTATTATCAAACGGATATGTTAAATCAATAAATTCATAATCGCCATTAAATAAAACATCATTTAAACTATTATTCGCAAAAGTTAATGTAATAAAACAAAACAAACACACAGGCACGAGCGCTTGATATGCCATTTTCATTTAAACTGCTCGATGCTCGTTCCTCGTTCGTAGTTCATATCATCTTAACATAATAAATTAATGGATGACGGAGCGGGAAGTTGGTTAATAAATAACTAACGGCCTGACCAGCTGTTGCGTTCACGCCAGTTTTATCTTATTAAATATTTTATATAAATAACGTCTTATCTATTGCTTAGATGTTTATACAATAAGTACCTACTTTCTCATTTTTAATAAATATTTAACAAAATCATTTCTTCCTCATTCATTTTCACTCCCTAAACTCCTGGGGTTGCCAGCCCGCCTGCCAATCGAGGTAACTTTGGCAAGAGGCGATACCCTATGACGAAATCTATGGGGGAAGCCAATCTATGTTCAGCGGTGGAATTATGATAAGCTGTAATGAATAAGTAAATTAAAATGTCAAATATTTTTATACATGGTAGAGCCACGCTGCAGCTACATATTATGGTTGTTGCACGAAGGGGTCGGCTCGACCAGGGAAGGACCGCGCTCTCGCCGAATATCAACGTAAAATAGGAGCTTAATGCTTGCTGCGTTTCGTATGGTAAGTGTAGAGAACCGGAGACTTTTTGAATTTCAAAACTTTTCCTAATTATTATCAAGCTCAATATTTATATTGATATTAACCAAACTACAATGATAGTGAATGACTAAGTTTCAGAATACCAAACAAATTATTAGATACCTTATGTAAACAAGAGGATGATGATGATGTAGATAGGTATTAGGTACGATAATAGTGATTAACAAGAGGTATAGCTGGATATTACCAGCTGTTATAAATTGTCGCAAAACTGTCGTCTGACTTTAATGGTTCTGGATGCTTATTTTAATTCTCCTTGACTTTTACGCATGTAAGACATTAACTGAAAAAATATATTCCGACCTGAAAATGGACACTGCATACTTTCTTCTAGAAAGTGAGGTAGATAGAGACAAAAATTAGGAAACCTGAAACATAAAATAGGAAAGTCATATAATTTTTACTTATTACTTTTCACTATTTTTTTATTTATAGCAAAAACTATTCTAATTATTTTGGTTAGTAACTTGATACCTAAGGTTTAAATTACATAGTTATGCTTCGAATTTACTAACCTCCATATACAACATGTAACATAATTAACGCACTTTGAGAAAGTAGTTTGTTCAGAATCGTTTACTGAATCGATTCATATCATTTTTAATATAGGTAATTTTTTATCCCAAAAATAATTAAAACTACGTAAATTACAGTCACACTACATCTGTACAGTCAAAACAAACTGAAATGGACCGTAACTTAAGGCAATAAGACTTTTAAGAGTGCAGTTTTATTTGTATTATTACTAATTCTGTCATTCAATAAAAATAAAGAAAAATGAACTTTATTTCAAGCATGTTAAAGTCTTTGCGTTCGTGGATTTGTACTGTGACCACAACATTCTTCCGGAATTAGTATAAATAATTTGATAAATAATCATTGCATAAAAATGTTTAACAAAAAATTCAGTGTATGTAATATGATTATAACATAATATACTAATTGGGGTGTCTGAGGGTGTGCGCTAATTATGTTACATATTGTATATACGCTTGTATAATAGAGGTCAGTGGTCGAATGAAACCAGTTCGACATCGTTTATTTGTTCTAGAGATAATATGCGAGGTGACAATAAAGCACCAACGTATGTACACTTACGTACATACACCGACGTAGGTACAGATAAAAATACACTAGAGACCTTGAACGCGACAAATGTCAAAGCTTGAACTTTGGTAAAATCGGATCACTAAAATAGTATTGTCATTTAAAATTTTTAGGTTATTGGTAATAATACTCAAAGTTGGCATAGGTACCCATAACCAGGCTTGTCTCACTCCGCGCTTTAGGTATGAAAATATACCTACACGGGGATCGCCCCCTACTAGATACTAATTCAGTGAGGTTGTCACACTGTAGCGATTTTGAATGTTTGGAGTTAGATAGTGACATTCTGAAAAAAATCATTTTAAAATGATTTGATGACTTTTAGTGATATTTATCAAATCTTGAAGAAATTAGAAAATACATATTGTTATCCCTGTTTACCTGTTGCTGAATTCCCCAGTTTATGTCAAAATAGCACTATCCTTTCCTCGCATAACAAAAACGTAATTGGTTTTTGTTTGGTTATGCTAACTAATTTTGGGGACTCCGCGACTAATAATGAGAACCTACCACGTATGTAAAGCTTTTTTCAGTGAGTACTAAATACTGTTGCTGGTATTTAGTAAGTTGCTAGTCTTCGTAAAAAAAAGGTGTTTGTTATGATTGAAATCATTCAAGTTCTAATGTTTTTGTGTAGTGTCTTTTTTATTTTGCGTTACTATGGACGTGCCACTGAAGAAAAAGAAAGAGTCCTTTTCCACGAAAATATCAGTAAGAATGGGAAACCCAAGAAGAATTTAAAATATGGTTACGACCTCTATCAAATCTCATCCTGCCAACGAAGCATGGAAAGAAGCGTCACAAAAATGAGAAAAAGTCAAAAAATTCTTCACACTATCATCAGGCAAAAGACAAGAGTAACAGATGTCCTCACGCACGCTCTAAAGTTAAAATGGCGGTGGGCAGGACACGTAGCGAGAATGAACGTCGAGCGTGGTCAATTCGCATGACGTCATGGCCAGGTCCTACAGGCACTCGGAAAAGAGGAAGACCTACATCTAGATGGGCAGATGACATCACCCGAGTCGCAGGCAAAAACTGGATGTCGGAAGCCAAAGACCGAGACCGCTGGCGTTCTCTGGACGAGGCCTTCACCCTCACTACTTGAGGGGTTCATGCATGGTATATTTTTTATCTTAAATCTTTTAAATCTATAATTTTATTTTCTTACTTTTATTTTCATTTTATAACTTTTTTTAAATTATATTATCAAGTAAAAATTTTACGTATATAAAAGAATGTTTATTTTATTTTATTTAAAATCAAATAAATTTAATTTCATTTAATTTAATATGTAATAAAAAACAGAAATGAAAGTAATAAAAGGAAAAAAATGTGTTCAAGTAATAAAAAAGGAAAAAAAATGTATAACTATTTACTTTTGAGATAGCAATGTAACAGTCCATTTATAACCTAATATTATTATAAGCAAATGTTATGTGCAAGGCATGAAATAAAAGCCTTTTTTTGTTTTATGGATATAAAATGTACAGAACAAAACGCAGTGTAGTATAAAAGTAAGTGTTAGCTCCAGATTTCAAACATATGATATTAGATGATGTTAGATCACAAAGGTATAGTGCACCATTAGCACAGAATAAATAATAGTACTACGTACAGAAGTTTCACTCTTTTAATGTTGACTGCTTGCTGACGTTTAATAGCCTACATAATTATTAATTAGATAAATCGCGCTCGCAAGCTAAATAAAACTTTATCGCTGCGCGAGAGTGTCCGTATTGCTTTGCACATTTTCTTCTTCCTACTTTACGGTAGACTTTCCGTTTTTATGGAGGGAGGGATGTTAATAAAGAGTAACAAAATACATTGCGAAATATTAATTAGGTTACTTAGGTGAAATACCTATTCTGACTATGATCGACAGGCCATATTTTCGCACCTACGTGAGTTCTGCCTAATATAATGGGCGGTTTACACGGGTTTCGTAGCTAAGCGCATACGCATGCAACTTGCAAGGCCATTCGTCGGGAATCGCGACGCTTGGCACGGAAGGAAAAGGTAGAAAGTGTAAACAACAAATAAACTTGAAATACAATTCCTAACAGAAATGTAATCGTATTCTACTTAGTTAAAAATTTGTTGGTAAACAAAGTTTTGATTTCAGTGTTTTGTGTTATTTTAGCTTAAAATATTTTAAGCTAAAATAACAGCTTAAAATATTTTAATACAAAAGGCAAGTATATTTACGTAAGTAGATACTTGGATAGTGAAGTAAATTTCCACTAAATTTTGTAATAATGTTCGTAGATATTAAATACATTATTACTTAATTCTTTTTTTGCTATAAGTACCTAGCTAACAATAAAAATTAAATAAATTCACGTTTCATAATTTCCTACTAAAATCCTTCGGTAATAAAGAATGATATATCAGAAATATTTTGTTGGTCATTTAGAGTCTATTCACGCAACAATTATAGTAGGAACGACGTTTGCCATATTAAAATTTATTAAATAATTGGTAGTATACATAATATATAGTTCTTAAATTACATTAAAATTTTTGAACTATTTTATCCTATAATTAAATATACTAAACACTAAACAAAAACTATTTCAACAATATTTACAAAAAGTTATATACGTAAACAGCGTTAAAAAAACTTTAACATTCAATCGCCTCCAACGCGCTAGCCCTAAATGCGTATTTCGCCCGTGCGCGTCGCGGTTTTAGGTAATTATTTCACTTAGGTAGCAAGAGTGATAGAAGCCTGCCAAAATAAAGTTGTATCCGCAATTCCGCATTTCTAGCATTAGAACCAGTAATGAGTGCGGATGCTCGTGGAATTGTTACTGCCTCGGTAAACTGTTTATGTAAAGGTCTTCCAAGAAAAACTTAATTGGAATTAAGGTGAAAATGACAGAGTATGTCATGACTGGAATCTATAATAGCGTATGAAATTTAATTCTAGTCAAATGTGTTTGCTACTCATTGCCGTTAGCTGTGTCACATGCGTCAGAGTAAACGTTTCCACGAAATATAGATTGTCTCATTAAAAAACTTATAATTGGTTCTCACATTCACCGAAAAGTTGCGATGAGTACAAAGAGACAGTAAATTGTGGCGAGAGTCCTTTAAAAACATTGCGCTCTTGTGATACTCGTTGGCTGTCAGTGGTGGATGTCAGTCTCTGCTAACATATTGTATTTCTTGCTGGGGAAGCGCTTCCAAAACAGTCATGACAAGAATTGAGAGAACTCAACGTTCGGTCCTAAAAGTTATGCTTAACAAGAAATACAGGTATCCAACAGTTAAACTGTACAGAGATATTAAAGTA